GCTGGGTAGGATGTGATGTAGACAGCTCGTGTTGACCCCTCTGATAGCTATGTTCAAGACAAAGGAGGTGGTGATAAACTAGGGCAGTGGTCATGGCAATGGAGAAAAGGGATAGACAGTCCAAAAGTAGAACAGACAGACCAATGAACAACTGAGTGTGTTGGGGCTCATAGAAGAAGGTCTAAGAGGTCACTGAGGGTCCTGACTTGGGGAAATGGAGATGTCGACTCCATTCCTAAAACACAGAGTGCTGCTGGGAGGGAGATGGTTTTGAAATTACTTTATCCACTCATCTATTCATTCACTCATCTATTCATTCACTCATCTATTCTTCTGTGACTGCCTTCTTGCATTAGGCAATCTATTAAGTGTGGATAGACAATGTTGAATAAATCAGACAAAGTTCTCATATAGCTTACTGTCTAAAATTAAATTCAATTTTCAGAAATGCTAGGGCATCCATAGGCCATCAAGGTACACATGTCTACCCACAGAGCAGAATATGAAGCTAGATAGTTGGCAGGAATCACAGATTCCCAAGGAGAAGAGAGTTTCAAAGAGAACAACTAATAGGACAAAATGCCTCTAAGAGGTATTTATAGCATGGGCTGATAGTGTCCCACTGGTGTTAGAGGAGGACTTAGGGACAAGCATGAATATGCCCTGGACATTGGTTCATTTGTACTGCCTCTTCATCATTTCTATATTAAGAGTCTTCACCAGGTATTCTGATGTTGATCAACAATAGGCCCTTGCATTTTAATGAGGTCTTGGGTCTTCATTATATAAGCTCCCAGATGCTATTGGGCCAAAGGGTCTTGTTATGTTGGGCAACTTGATGAAGTATACTTCCACAATAATTTGTTCAAATAGGAAATCATCAAAACATATCTGCTAGAGTCTTCTATTTAAAAATGTTTCTTCCTATTTCTCCTAACATGTGATAATAGCCAAAAAGTATTGAAAGCAATATTTCTTCTTTGGATAGTTGACATATTGGGTTGAATTTTCATTCGTAGTAAATCCCAATAATCATCAACTTGGATATAATTCTTAATTAAAGATATGGTTGATTCAGTTTGTCCACTCTAAATAGCAGAATTTTGGCCTTCAGCATCCGTGTGGCATGCCTCTTGTCCAAGTATATTTTGACTTTCAGCAAAGCACAGAAAATATGGCCTGTCTCTGCTCTGCTGCATATGTGGCCTCAGCTGAAGACACTTAAGTGGCTGGGTAAGACTTGACAGCTGAGGGTCATAATCATTTGAGACTCCTTACATGTCTGGCAATTGGTCTAAGATAAATCAAAGGCAGGACTCAGCTGGGGCTGTCACCTAGAGCTCCTACCTTGACCATGTGACCTCTGCATACGGCTTGGGTTTCCTCACAGCATGGTGGCCTCAGGATAGCTGAACTTCTTACATGATGGTTCAGACACCATGAGCAAGTGTTCCAACAAACAAGGTGGAAACTGCAGCGCCTAACCTCAGGGCCAGGGAGCATCACAAACTCACCTGAATCAAAAGGGGATGTAGAATCAACCTATTCATGGAAGCTCAACAAAGAATGTGTTTAGTAAACTTATCAGGGTTTTATGAGAATGAAATAAGAACAAAAATGATTAACTAAGGTTGACTCACTGTGTATTACGGTACAAGGATGGGATTGAACTTCAACTGGAAAGACTTGTGCTAGAGTTAGATTTCCAAAGATCAGATATTATGCAAAAAGCATATTATCTGAATTTGTTCATTCATTCAAAAAATATCAAGAATGCCATGGTGAAAAAAGAGAGTTCTTGTTCTTATGAAGCTTAAACTCTTGTAGGCTGATGGAGAGTAAGGAAACAGATGCTAAAGAAGCAATAGAACATATGAGCATGATGGTTTAAGATACAGATGTACAACCAAAGGAAAATCAGGGAGGATCCCTGAGCATTTGATAGGAAGCTCCATGCTAGACCGCGGGACCTGGTTTACCACAGTCGTAGAGCATGGGAATAAGTAGTCGTAGAGCTACTTAAGATCTCAAAAATCTGTACACAGAGGGAAACAGCAGAGATGACACAGATTGAGTGCTTGACAACATTTTTAAGAAGCACAGAATGTAAAAAAAAATATATATATATATATATATATAGCATTTAAGTTCAAATGTCAAACAAAAGATCATATGTGAAGCTAAAGAAAGGAAATGGAGCCATGGATCAGAAGCAATGTGTGTCAGCACAAACGGGAATAGGGTTGATAGGAAAGGCCAAGTGAAGGTGCTGTACTGCTTTTTTGCTCTTCACCTGTATATGGAGAATAGGGCTGATTCAAGAAATAGAGCTGGGGCTTGCCTTTACATACAGCAGTCCAGAAATTAAGACACAGATGAGCTAAAAAGAAGTTATTTGCAAGGCAAATAATTGTCAAAGAATTGGTATCTAGAATATGTAAAAAAAAAAAAAAAACTCCTTCAAATTAATTTCAGGAAGTCAAACAACCCAGAGGAAAAATGGGCAAAGAACATGATCAGGAAAATCACAGAAAAGAAAATGAATCTCACTATAATCAAGGAAATTCAAAATAAAACAGTAAAATAAAATGTACAACAAAGACTAAAAATAATAGTAGTGCACCAATTTTAAAGGTATTACCTGCCTCCAAACACACATACAAGATAATTTCAGTGTTTACAATGATTAAACTAGATAATATAACCCAACGTGGCTAACTGTTGGAAACTGCGCAAGGCTAAAAACAAATAAAAAAGAATGTAAAAATGAACCATTTAGGCAGAGTTTTAAAATGAACAAACAATTACTACATAATGATTTGGATACTTTCACATATAATAAAACATGAAAATAATGTGGTGGTGCCCGTCTATAATCCCTGTGATTTGGGGTTAGAGGCCAGCCTCAGCAACTTAATGAGACCTGTCTCAAAATAAAACATAAAAGGGCTGGAGAATGTGGCTTAGTGGTAAAGCACCCCTGGGTTCAGTCCCCAGTACCAAAAACAAACAATCAAACAAACCCACATCATTTCAGGTTACACTGTGCAGAAAGGGGAGGAAATTCAGTTGTGGGGGAGGAGAATCTCCTTTGCAGGCTTCCATGTTCCTGCTCTGTCTTCTTTCTGACAAAGAATTAGGTCTAACACAAAACAAAATCGTAAGGTGCTGAAACACAACCGGTGATCCTATACTACTTTCTATATGCTTGGAATATTTTGCAATAAATTCTTTTAAATATTAGAAACAAACATAAAAACACACAGAACATTAACATTTAATCCTTCTTCATGGGGAACGGGGGAAGACACATGTTCAGATCTGGCCAGGGGAGATGTGTCTATCCTATGTACTTTGGGTTGTGTTTTTCCTTTGGTAGACTTTTCCTGACCCTAGTGAAGTTCTTGTCCTGTACCTTATGTTTAAATGTGTACTTCCATGCCTCAGAATTGTAATACTACAGAAAGTACTTGGTTTCTCTCTTTTAAATATTTCAAAGTTCATACAGTAAATGCAGGATTTTTTTCTGATTTGCTTTTATTTTTATCCAACTACACTCATAAGGAGATTCTGGAAGATACTGATTCTACAGCTTTTTTGTTTTATCTGAGTTTTCAATCTTAACTCTCTTCTGTATTGTGGGTGGAGATGGGTTTGTTATTCTTCAATTCTGGTGGGAAAAAATACCTCTAAATTTGGGTAAGATCTGAAAATGTCTCATTCATTGTGTAGAAATTATGGATTTCATATTTCATTTCCAAAATTATTTGAACATCTAACTCCTGCTGCTAAASAGTATGCTAGGTTCTAAGTATGGGTTCACCACACAGCCATGTGGACCACAGAGAACCCTGAGAAGTAGGTCCCTGGAGGATATCCTGAAAGAGCACCCACCCTTACCTGACTCAACACCTTTGCAAAGGATAGGTTGTTGGCTAGGGGTCGGTTTTGCATCCGTTCAATGCTAAACCAGGACTGAAGGGCAGTTCATCCTTCCCCGTCCCATTCCTATGTTCATATTAGTAACAGTAATTTGGAAATGTCTTCCATTAAGTTTGCTCATGTTGTTACCACTCACGTTCAACTTCCTCTTGGTGACGCCATGATCATGCCCCGCACCCGTGCCTAGAGGAAGCGCAGGCAGTGACAGGGCAGTCTGAGCCCGGCTTCCTGCCAGGCACGCTGGAGTGCACAGCTCACAACCACGTCCAGATCGTCAGTCCACTGGCTGTCTAGGACACCACGTTGCCACACGACCTTTGCCAAGTCATTTCTTTCTGTTCTGTGTAACATAAGGTTGTAATTATGATGATCTCCCTCTTCAACATGTGATGAGAAGCTATTCACAACAAAGCCTGTAAAAACCGCACACATGATGAGAGAAGCAGATATTAAATGTATTTTTAAAAATGTTCTAAATTGAATATTCACTTCCTCCCTGGCTCCACATGTCCTTAAAATTTATCTGTAGAGACCACAGTAGCAGGACAGCCTGATGAGGCCCTTCCGCTAAGGCTACCCACTAAACATCTTTTTCTGACCCCAAATATGGCCCGATTTTCAGCTGAATGATCTTTGTGTGGAGAGGGGTTATCTTTTCATTATTCTCTCATTAAACACATGGCCTTTCTTTTTATTTCCCCCAAGAAAACTGAGGTCACCTGGTTGATTTTCAGTTGGCAATGCATTCTTGTTCAGTGCCAGACACATGGCGTGGTCTAGTAGCCGTCTCCACTTGGGTCTGGGATCGTATTCCCTCCAGTCACCAGTATATGTCCAAACACTTGTGAGTGCGCCGGAGGGCAGAAGGCTCAAAGAGGTGAGATCAGGCCAGGCTGGCACCCACTCTGTGGGACTCAGGGACAGAGTCATACTTCAAAGGGTGCGACAGAATGATTGACAATGCACCAGGACAGCTCATGGTAGGTGGAAGGACAAGGGGAGAAAAATAAGCTGCCTTGGTAGGCTTTTTCAAGTTTCTGTTTTTCTTCCATCTGCAGACTCTTTCGGCGGCCTTCATATTTGGATGTGGACATTGAAGGATTGCTGACCAATGCCAGAGTCACAGGAATTGCCTGCTGTGCTTTTGATCTTCCCATATGACTGAATTTCCTGAATCATCGTGTTGCTGTGTGTGCACACATGTGCACACGTGAATCTTCTGGCACATCTCCCAGAAGTGCGAGCGCTGGGACAAAGGATCCATTGGTGCTTGCAGAATGTCATATTGATCGCTTTGGCCTCCTTGGCGCAGAGCCAGACCCTCCATCTCTCACTTCACAATGTGGCTGCCAAGTCCACGGGCTTGTCTCCTTGTGACAGCCCTTGGTGCTGCCTCCTGAAGAGCAGAGTGATTTTTCAGAAACCTTAAAAACAGAACTTCACATTCTACCAACTTTGGGCAGGAATTTGGTTCTTGTCCTTTAACCCTTACCGTCTGTGGTGCCTTCTAGATCTAGTTACATGATGCTCCCGGCATTCAGTGGAGTGGGAAAGCCAGTGACACAGAATAATTCACTGTCTCCCTCTACATTTTTGCACAGCTTTCTGACTAGTATCAATCTTAGTCAAATCCATGATTTATGCTTCAAACTTAGTGATGCTCAAAAGGCAAACTTCATGAGAGGAAGAAATCTCTTAAGTTCTCAAACTGTACTTTGCATGTACGGTGTTATCAAAATTGTTAAAATAAATGATTCACAGAAGACCTATTGCCAGTGCTTCACTTTAAAGTGACTCAGATCATCAGCTTACTCTAGAACACAGCATAAGCAGCATGATCATCTTCAGGCAGACATCTTTCAAATCAAGGGCACGGCCACAAACTGCAGCCCTTGTGTCTGCTGTACCCAAAGGAGGGAACAGCAGAATCTTTTCCCTTTTTTCAATACTGCATCTAGGACTTGACCCAAGCAGAAGGTGAGACAGGCTTCCTTCAACTCCTCCCTGGTCTCACTCCATTCTCACCTCACGGCCTTCTGCACACCTAAGACATGTGGGCTGCTCTTCCTCAGAAGGCGGCCATCTGACTGGCCACCAAACACCCGAGTGGGAAATTAGTTCATGTACAACCTCCTCTTATCCTCCAGAGAAATTGCAGTTGCTCACTTTAAATTTGAGGGAACACAGGAAAGAACACTCGTGACTGAGGCTCAGTGACCCCAGCATCTGTGAGCGGACGGATGGGCAGAGAGCTCCTGGTGGTGCTGCGGCTTTGAGTCCAACAGTGGGGTCTGATCCTTGCTGCTAAGGTGTGCTGTGCTTCCTTAGGAGTCAAATCAGCTGTTTTCATTATCCTCTGTTTTATTTGGCTTCTGAGAGATGCCCAGAGCAGGTCTCTAATTCAGGCCCAGATGAAATTTAATCTGAATTCCAAACATTCCAGTTGTAATGGGAAGAGCACGTGCTTTGGAGTCAGTGGGACCTGGTGAGCCTCCTTGAGCTGTCACTTAACAGCTGTGTTGGGAAGCAACGTGACCTCTTCAGATCCTCAGTTGCTCATCTGTGGGGAGGGACAATACTGCTCAGCTCAGGGGCTGTCGTGAGGCCACGTGAGGCAATGGGTATTACAGTCCCACACGGTGTGTGCAGCTGAGGCCTCAACAAAGCAGACTCCCTTCATCACGTGTCCTTGAATGCCAGCAGCCCAGCCAGCCCCATGGAGCTCACTTCTTACTGACAACTTACGAAATCTGAAAACTCGGCTGTGATATTTTTAAGAGACTATATTCCATGGCTATGATATCACCAGTGTCAAATTTAAACTTGTGATGATGGCACAGCTGTGCCCTCCTTGGGTGTCACACTCTTTGGAAGCAGGGCACTGTGACAGTGCTGGAGAAACTGCCATCTGTAGTATTCTTGGGGCACCCAAGAGCCTGGAATTTCCAGGCAGAGATGATCATGTCTCATTCGTTTATTCTGAACAGCACCTCACAGCCGTTCTCTGCGAGTGACAGGCCGTGTGGGCTGTGGTATTGCACACATTGTGATCCTATCCTGCACAAGTGCTCCCCATACTCTTTAGTATTGTGTTAATAGTATGTTTTGAAGTTCATGTTTTTGAACTCTGAGAAACTTAATGAACAAAACTTTTGAGATGAGGGGTAAAATATGAGACTGGGGATGTAGCTCAGTAGTAGAGCACTGCCTAGCATGCAAAAGGCCCTGGGTTCCATCCCTATCACCACACACACACACACAAAAAAAAAAAAAAAAAGAGAGAGAGAGAGAGAGAGAGAGAGAGGGAGGGAGGAGGGAGAATGACAAGGGTTGAATGATACACACAAGACAGTTGCTGACTCAATAGAATGACACTTTATTGTTGTTTTCAGAATAATAATATAAAATAGAAGCCTTGGAGTCCAGACGTTAATATTTGGACCCAGAAAATCGTTTTCTCTGTACACTCTTGAGGGGATACGGTGTTCATAGTTGTTACATGGTGTGCCTACCGCTGTCTACTTAATCCCATGTATCTTGATACCATCTAGGAAAACTAAAAGCAGGGTGTCCTTAGGAATAGGGCTCAGGTTAACAGACGATAGCARGGTGAACAGACTGTCAGAGACCAATCGAGGATTAAGTAGATTTGTAATTCAAAACTTATTTCCCCCTTTTCTGCCTTATTTTGAAATCATATGAATCATCTCAATTATTTCTTCAGTATTATAATATAGTGCATACTTTATAAAATACAGAACAATTATTTCATTGTTTTCTTTTCTTAAAGAAGCACAGAAATAGAGAAAAAAATAAAATCTACTGTTTTGAGCTCATTCTCAGACTCTGCCTTAGTAGATAAGGCTTTGCATTTAGATGGCTGTCACACTATGAAAACTTCAGATGAACAGGTTGGGACAAAACTTCCTTTCTGCCTCATTAATCGGGATCCATGGTCCAGCTAATTATTTTTGGTGCAAAATTTCGACAGTTGAAATTTTGAAAATATTCTGGTCTTACAGAGAGCACCTAAGGGTACATTTAATTTACCTCCATTAAAATCAACTTCAGGGAATTTTATTTTAGTTTCCTCATGCTTCATCCTTCCTAATTTTCAATTGCCACATTGCAGATCCCTTTACTGAAGCACTGTTTATATTCACAGAGACCAGTGATCTATTAGTCTCTGCTAGTGATAAAGGGTGGTCTGTCTTCATTTCCTAAATGTGCCTTAAATGTCCCATATAAATCCTATGCTCTCCTTGGTAGCCTGGATGACCCAGAAGTAAGCAGAGGTCATGCCTGTGCCTCCAAGGAGCTTGCCCAAGGAGAAAGCATGACAGTGGCCTTTCAAGACACAAAACATAGAAGTGTCCATCTGTATTCGAAGAACCATCTACGGCATAAATCCTGACCTCTGACCCTACAGGATGAATTCCCCTTGCAGTCCTGTTTRGTTTGGCTCACACAGTATTCAAGTCAACAATTTAGCAAATCACCAACATTCTGAAATGGAAAGATACGACATGAGATTTGTGTTTTGTCTCAAAAAAAATAAAAGTGGAGAAAGGTGGCAGCACAAGCTTCCCTCTCCAGGGTCCATAGCCGGTGGGGTGCCCTGGTTTTCCAGTGTCTGCTGCTCTTCTGCTGTGTGCTCTCAGTGGGAATAATTTCTACAGAACGTACTCAGGAGTTTCTAGGAAAGGCGAACCTGCATGCAGCTTGCTCTCTGTCTTCTTTCCATGTCACTCTACTGTTTGTTGAGCTACAGAGTTGCTAAGGCTGATAGATACACACTCACATGCCGGGAGACTGAGCTCCCGGGACACCCAGCAGAGAAGCCCTACAGAGGGCTTTCCCCTGAGTGGTCAGGAGAGCCCGGAAATTAGACCAAGATCCCCAGGGTGGAGACTGGAAACCTGTGGATCCTCAAAAGAAGGTTCCTGGTCCTCATAGAGTGTGGATCTCTAGGAGAAGGTGTCACTGGTTCCACGGAGGCAACCTGGTCTTCTGAGCTTCAGGAACTGAGGAGGAGCAGAGCATGTCGAACTATCATTGTTCCTGGGACTGAGAGAGGAGAGCAGGGGCACGGGATGTTGGCATGGGCCCACGTCGAGTGTCACCTGTTGCCCGTCCCTTTGTAAAGTCTCCTTCACCTCCCGCCTTCTCAGGGAAGTTCCATGACATGGKACTCCTGCTCTGTATTTCAAGTTGTGTGTGTATGGGGGGTGGAGTCACTTGAGATACGCTCATACTTAGACACTTATCTCTTGATGAAAATGATCTACTGAGGAAAGCCTGTGGCTCACATGAAGAGAGTCACAATGCGTGGAACACATCACCTAGCTGAGAAAGAGGACAAATGACAATTTAAAGAGATTTAAATACAGCCCAAAGGCACTTCCTGTGTCTAAAAACCATAATTTCTGAACTCAACAATGCATTGATTTGATGGGCTGGATGGTTACTACTGAGACTTAGGGCAATAGCCCAGCATATCAAGTAAAAATAATATCACAAAGCACAGCATAATATTTCAAAAATGTGGAAATCTATCCCCCCCACGTCACATACACACACACACACACATACACACACACACACACACACACACCAAAAAAAAAAAAAAAAAAACCTTGAAATATAGAGCAAGATTCCCATGTATCAATAATGGAATGGAATTTTTTAGAAGAAGAAGAACTACAAAAAATAAAAACAAAATAATAGATTTTACCCAAGTTTAAATAAAGATCTAACCTGCAAATTAAAAGGACTAATGAGAAAAAAAAACTTAAAAAATTATGTTTTTGAAAAAGAAAAACAAAACAGTATTATTAAATTCTCTCAACAAACAATTCAAAAAGCCAGATATAAACACAATTCTAGTCCTCAAAGTAGGAAAGAAACAGTAAAAACACTGAAAAAGTAATGCCAAAATAATGGCCAAAACAATTTCAAATGTGATGAAAAGTATAAACTTACATATCTAAGGAGCTCAAAGAATCCAAAGAAACAAACAATATGAAAAGAACTACACCAAGAACTATCAAACTTAAATTTCTTAAAAATATGAATAAAGAAAAATTTATTTAAAATGGCCAAATAAGCTTGGTCTGATGGTACATGCCTGTAAGAGAAGCTATGGCAGGAGGACTGCAAGTTAGAGACTGGCCTGGGCAACCCAGAAAACCCCTCTATCAAAATACAACATAGAAAGGGCTGGAGATGTGGCTCAGTGGTAGAGTGCTAGCCCTAGGAGAGCAGAGGCCTGGACTCAATCCACAGCAACACACACACACACACACACACACGCACACGCACACACACACGCACACGCACACGCACGCCAAACAAGACTCATTACATACAAAGGAAAAAGAGATGTTTTACTTTTTCTTTTCTTCTTTCTTTCTTTTTAAACTTTGAGACAGGGTCTTGCTAAGTCCCT